TTATCTGGTTCCGGTGTAACTTTTCTCACCGGTTTAAATATCAATGAAGGACTTTTTACGTTTCTAGAATTGGTGTTTAGTACTGATAGTTGCGTATTGCTGCTACTGCTGCTGTAATTGGACATTGTACTAGTAGATCTAGTTGTCATGTCTTCTTCAATAGGATTTGTTTCTAATTCATCTTTTTCTGTTTGCAAAGATGACCCTTCACCTATACATTTTTTATTATATTAAAATGCATAAATATTAAAACAATATTTTGTCTTTTAAATGATATAAACCTTCTAAAGTAGCATCTTCACTATAATTATCAAATACTGTATATCTGTTTATCAATGTGTTAGATGATAAACAACTATTTGTAGCTTCGAATGATGCACTACTTGAATTATTAGTTGACTGGCTCGGCAGCGGAAATGAAGTCTTTGTTCTACAAAAAATGACAAAAAAAATACAAATACATAAAAAAAAAACAAATACATAAAAACTATTATAATAATTTACAACTTACCGTCTATGAGCTAAATGAGGAATCAAAAAAAGCATAGTTTTATATAGTTCCCACTCTTTTGTAGGTGTATACCCAGAACCTGAAGGTGGCAATTTTTGTTTTCTATGTTCTCTGTTAAACATATCTCTCAATGACGACCAACGTTTTTCTATGACATCAGCTACACAGATCATTATGTTATATATTATTTTTAATTTATTTATATATGAATTTAAAATAAATATTACCTGTCATATCCACATCATATAAGGCTTTTAGATTTTCGGACAGATTTTGCCACACTCTTTTTTTTATTGCAACATTTTTATAATTTGCGTCGCTTTTATTATATACACAAGGATTTTCTTTGACAAATTCTATAATTAATTCATCAATAGTTACTGTGACATACGTTGATTCCATATTATTGAAAGTTTTTTAAATGAATTTTAACTTATTTTCTATCGTTTTATTTACTTCAATCGTGTCAAATATGTGGAAATAAATAAGGTTAAGCAGTATGGAATGATATATTACTAGAAAAGTCATTAGGTTAGGGTTAGGTAAATGTTTTGTCGTTAGTCGCGAGTCGCCAAAAGATGAAAGTTGGTCATCTTCTGTTACGACAGCGACACTCGACTTACGACAGCTTTCGATGACACGCGCCAGCTCAATACGCATGCGCCCGACATCCGACAGCGACATACGACTTATTGTAGAACAGGCTTGAGCAATAAAGATAGAATGATGCAACAGCGCTGATAGCGCGCTCTCCGAGGCCCGAATTCATAGTCGTCTCTCAGATCTCAGATCTCATCTCATCTCTTTCCCTCTCTTTTTCTCTCTCTCTTTCTCTTTCTCTTGAGATTGGAGATCTGAGATCTGAGAGACGACTATGAATTCGGGCCCGAATGTAGCCAAAGTGTTACCAATTTTATAACCAGAAAAATAGTTAGCAAAAGCTATTTCGGAACACGCCATTACTTTATTGCGACATTGCGTCTTTCGTGTGTCAAAAAATTGTACGAGTGACGTATAGAATGTACATCTCGAGTTTATAAATTATGAAACATTAAGAGCCTGAGATTCCCGTGAATGAAGATTTCAAGGCTTATAATTGTAACGTTCATCTGTGACCGACTGCTTTCGTAATTATCGTGTAAGAAATATATCTGTACCGCAACTTTGTCTTCAATCTTTGAACGATTCGAATACATATTGTATTTTGTAAATTTTTTCTTGAACATTTTGAAATGTCTACACGATATATGAAAAAGGTTTATGGATGCGATGTGATTCCTGAGAAAGAGAATGACAGTACGAGCGATACGGAAATTTCAGTGACCAACGACATCAAGGCCAAGTCTTTCAACGTTTTTAATGTGGTATGTTAAATATGTCGTACATAAACGTCAGTCATTGATCGACTGCAACCAATCTAGCATTGCAAAACATTTCAAAACATTAATTTATCTTTGTACCTAATGAGAAATTAAGATGCAATGATTTCGAAATATTTGTAACGCTATTTCGGTCGCAGCCATTAAATCTGCAGTCCTTTGAACGGAGATAATTCTTATAATAAAATTTGGATCTTTAGTTAAATCAGAGCTCGGATAATGATGAGCACAATGACAGTGATAAGCAAGAGGATGTGATTACAAAAGATGCAAATTGCAATGAGACAAAACAGAGAAAGAAGAAAAGAAAGCGGAAGAAGCCAGAGATCATTAAGAATCAGCTGCAATGTAATATAGAATGTGATAAAGAGATAGATGAGATTGAGCAAAGTATATGGGAGGTGCACCAGTTATATAGCGAACCAATACCAAGTTGCAGTAATCAGGATGTAGAATCGAGACAAGTTGATAAAAAATCTAAGGAAGATGTATTAACTGTACAGCGTAAACACTTGAATCCTTATAATGAAATGAAGAAAATCTTTGGTAGTAAAACTGTACAAACTGATCGAAAACATAATAGGTACATTTATAATATTACATATAACATCTATTTACATAAGATTTATAATAAATGTTTTTTTATATAGTTAGTAGTATCTATATAGTAATAATGTTATACATGAGCTTTTTTTATTGAGAAACCATAATTTTTACAGCCAACGAAATAGAGGTCGTACTGGATATTTAAAGAAAACATGGTTGATATCTCCACGAGATAATTGGCCACCAATTTATAAATCTGGATTATCAATGGTTTTGGATCACTCAGTAGAAATTAAAAGTAATGAACAATATTTTGTATATGGACATAGCCATCCATATAGACAAACACAATTGAAATTCTTGCAGGCTGTTGAAAGTTCAAATCCAGAGAACATAATGGTAAGTGAATAGTGATTATATCATAATGTTAAATCTGCTTTGTTATTCTTATTTAAGTACAGTAGAACTCCAATAATTTTGAACGCGAATTGCAACCCGATTCTTAGAATTCGAAATTATTTTTTTTTCCAGTTAGCAACTGACTACAGTAGCAAGAAACAAAAGATATATGTTTTTCTTAGATTCTTAGAGTGGGGATAAACGCACGTTCTATGAGTTGCGCAATCATTTAATGGGCCTCAATAGTTTCCCCCACTGTTGAATTATCAATACTATTGGGAGAAACTATTGGCCTGCCTATAAAAGAGAAATCTGAAGAGAAGAAATTATGATGACCGAAATTAATGGAGTTTTATTGCATATATTTTTTGTAATAAGCATGCGTAATATAAAATTTGTTAATATTTTGATATTTTGATATTTATGCAAATACTGTAACAGAATCTTAATCTCTTAAATTCATCGCATTTTCAGGGTATATTATATACACATTCTTATCACATAGATGCTCTTCTGCAAATGGCTGAACTGTTTAAATTGAGTGAAGATTTGCCAATGGCAGCTGAATTTATTGAGCGAGCTCTATATTGTTTAGAGTACGCGTTTCATCCATCTTTCAATATAACAACTGGACAATGTAGATTAGATTACAGAAAACAACAGAATCGTGCGCTTTTTATAACATTATTTAAGCATCTTGGATTTGTTGGTGGACGTGCGTGTTACAGGTGAATGTCATAATAAGAAAATACTTGAAAAAAAAGATAAAATTTATATAAAAATGGAATCGTAATTTGTATTGGTGAGCTCACAGACTATTGAGAGCCAAAAACATCATCAAAATTTTGAGTTTAATTCTTTAGAACCAGTATCGAGTTTTATTATGAAATATGAATTTGAATTTCAGAACAAGCTTGGAATTCTGTAAATTACTTCTGTCATTGGATCCCGATGGTGACCCGTTAGCGGTAGTATTGCTTATAGATTTTTATGCCTTGAAAGCAAAAGAATATGAATGGTTTATAGAGTTTTGTGAACTATGGGACACATCTAGAAATTTAACTCAATTACCAAATATAGCATACAGTTTAGCTTTGGCTCATTTTCGTTTGGGAAATAAAGATGCCGATACACTTCTAGAAAAGGCGCTCATGATGTTTCCAGGTGTACTAATGCCTTTACTCGAGAAATGTAGCATACAAACTGACACTAAGGTATTATAAATCTACAATAATAATAATTTTTTTAAAGATTCTGTCTTTTCAAAATAAAAGATGCTAGGAAAAATGGTTTGTTATATTTTATTCAAACAAAAAGTATATTTTATTCACAATTGTTATATTTTATTCAAATGTTTGTTAGGTAATGCAGCACAATTTCTTTAATCTCAATGCACAAACCAGTACTCCACCAGCTTTAGAGAAGCTGCAGAATTTATATGTAGCGCGTAGCTTTCATTTTTGGAAAGAGGCAGATATTTTACCCTGGCTAGAGAAACGCGTACATGCTGTGCTAAGTCAAGTCGAGTCTAAGGACGAATGTGTCGAATATTGTAAACTAAAACGTAGCCAGCGTTATCGAGGAAATCTGCCAAGGAACATTTTGAGACATATTATATTAGCGGATATAAAGGAAGTTACAATAGATGCCCGAGAAGTGAGTGTCGCATCAAAGATCTTATCAAAAGATCTCACACACGCACGCACATACGCGCGCGCGCGCGCGCGTATATATATATATATATATATATATATTAGTTTATTTGATTAAAGTTTATATTTATTACCCATTCCAGATCCAGAACGAAGGTCCAGTGTTATCGTATGATCCGTTACCGCCAAAAGACAGCATTGATATTTATTATAAAAGATCTATAGCATATGCTAGGTTAGCTCACCAAAGACGCTCAAACTTTTTTTCTCTCTTTTTCACGTCACTTTTTGCGGATATTAATGAAGATGTAACAGCTGCTGCTTTAAATGGGTTAAATTTGTTGTAAGTACATTAAAAAGTGTTATATTATTAAAAAAACGATACTTAAGTTAGAAGTATAAAATGTTATACTGTTAATTATAAATGATGAGATATAACTGGAAGTTTTGTGTACACATAGATCATTGCATGTGCGACTAAAAATAACACAATAATTGAAGTTGGTTTTTATTTTAGCGAGGAAAATGATGAACATGAACATGCATAATAACGGCCTTTCTTAATAAAACAAAAATGGAACACTGATAAGACATACAAGTGCAGATATAAGTAACGCGAGTAAAAATACAAGTAATTAACAGATTGTTTAATAAAAATCATGATATATTAAGATTATTTACTTTTCTTTAAAGAAACAAAACTATCTTTTTGATTCTTATTCTATAATTTTGTATAAAATTTAAAAGTTTAGAGACTTTTTAAAGAAACAAAATTGTTTCATTAATTTTGTTAGTTAAATTTATTGACGGAAAATAACATTACTTTTGAATATATGTATATAATTCTGACAAATACGTTTCAAACAGTAATTATCGCATGATTTTAGTGTGAATAAATCTGTTACCTATACATTGATTTATATA